TAAGTTATCCAGGTAAAACATTAAATTTAAATAAAAACAAATAACATAAAGTATTATACTTAATTAAGACAACTGTTTTGAAGACTTGGGCCTTATTATTTGTTTATTATTTTGAAAAATGATTTTCTATTTTCTAAAAAAAATAGTGTTTCTTGAGTACAATATGCATGATAAACTTTTATTTTACACAGTTAAAACTTATAATAAATAAATATTTTTAAATATATAAATTTATTTAGTTTTATAATAAATAATTTATATAGTATAATATTATTTTTATTTATTGATAATTTTTAAATATTAAAATTTAATTAATAAATAATCACCAAATTATATATAAAATAAATAAAAATGTCAAAATAATTTCATAAAAATATCATCACATTATGATTCGTTTTTTTTTAATATATAAGAATTATTTTTTTGCTTTTGTTTTAAATATTCTTAAATCTTTTAACTTTTGAAAACTACATTATCTTAAGCTCATGAATCAATTGACTTACTCCAGTTTAATCATTATACTAAATTTAAATTTAGAAGAAAATTTCGAATACAATGTATTTTATTTTATTTGTTTGGAGAGAAAATGAAAAAAAAAGGAGGAAAGTTAACATTTAGAAACAAAAATTTTAATTTTTTTTCTCCTTCCAATCTAAATTTAGTTTTTTTTTTTTCTCACTCTCCTTCCACTCATAATGTCTAAGTTATGGCTTGTTACATTGTCTAAGTTATTTTTGGACTTGATCCCTTTTTTCTTATAATATAAATGTTTAACTTAACTTGAGAATCTATTTAGACACATACATAGAATAAAGGTCTTTAAAAAAATGAAAAAGTTCAAATTTTTATTTTTAAAATATAATAATATTTTAAAAAAAAATATTGCACTAAATTATTATGCCATTTAAATTTGTTTACATGTATAAATGTTTAACTATGTAGCTAAACAGTTCTAAAAAAATAGAAAACTTAATATGTTAACTAAGTTTCTCGAAACCTATAATTTTATTGAAATTAATACATTTTTAATTTTTAAATTTTATTTAATTGATAAATAACTTATTTCAATATAAAGTAAAATAAACAAACTTTTTTGTTGGTTTAGAAAATAAACTCTATTCATTTCCCATGTGCTTCACTGCTTCTCTCCAAACACAAGGCTAATGGGCCATTCTAATTGTTGAGGCATTCGAAAGCCCATAGACTCAAGACACGTGCAGACTGTGTTGGGCCTGTGGGATAGAGCCCAATGCTCATAATTTGCTAGGGTTTGTTGTAGGCTATAAATAGTTGCGACGTTCAGTTAGGTTTTATCTTATTCCCCTGTTACTTCTCAGCAGCAATTGTCTAGGGTTTCGGAGTCGAAGAAGGGTAAGGTTTTTCGTTCGCCATGAGAGCCAAGGTGAGTTCATTTCTTCTCTCAGTTCCTTTGCGTATTGTGTTTTGATTATGTCTTTAAGATCTAATTGAAATTGTTGCTATGCGCAGTGGAAGAAGAAGCGTATGAGGAGACTGAAGAGGAAGCGCCGAAAGATGAGACAGAGATCCAAGTAGTGCGTTAATCCTAGTTTATTTCTGTTGTTTTTACAATTGTCTATGTTGTCAAATGGGACACCCAGCTGTTAGTGGCACTGGTCTCTCCCTTTTGATGTTTTGATACAATTTGTTGGGTCTTATTAGTTTATGTTTGTCTTATATTATTAGCTGAGAACAGTTATGTTACTGCGTTTGCGAATCAAATGGATTTCTTATCTTTATTTCTGATTCTTTGTTTTGCTAATTTGAGTAATTTTCATTCTGGTTGTAAAATGCAACGGGTTTATCATAGGGTCGTTACAATTTCGGAATATTTTAGCTACAGTATTTTTTTTAAAGCATTTGATTCATTTTCGTAATCCAACTATTTTCCCCCAATTTTACCTATGAACTTTTAATTCATGCAATTTTCTTTGGGGTGATTATAATTCTGGATTATTTCAGTTGCAGTTTTATGGATCTAATTCATTTTCATCATCGAGATATGTTATCCTAAAGTTACTTGTAAACGCCTGAGATAAATGCGGGCAATCTCTTATTACTTGAAATTTTTTAAGTCCTTTTTTAGGACTCTTAGTTTTGTTGTTTTTAATAAATCTTAACCGATGAAAGTGAGTGTATTAAGGGGGGAGTAATAGAGTGTGTTGCCAGCATTCTTCAAATAATAATTAATTTAATTTGTTATGATGACTAAGGAAATGTCTGTTTCATAAGATGATTTAGTTGGTTTTCCTTTAACAATTGGCTGGGTTTTGTACTTCTGTTGAATTGCCACTTTCAATATTATTTTTTTACTTTTATATCAGTGGTATCTTATTTTTAATTTAATATCCCCGAGCTTACATTTTTCCCCGGTTGAATATGCGTCTTCTGTGGTGTTATGGAAGGATGTTACCTATGACACCCACCATTTATGTTATGATTGATACTTATCTAAGAGGAAATTGAAATTAGATCATGAATTGGTTTCATATTTTGTGTTAGGTTTTAAGTCAAATCTCGTTGATTGTAATGATAACTTAAATGCGTGAGTATATATATATATACATGGGAATGTACATCATTTCGAATTTGAATAGAGGTTCCAATTGGAAAGCCATGTTGTCGGCGTTCATCCAAAATCAAATCTCTGCGGAGAGGTGAATTGTCAATTTGCCTCTGTTCCCTTTATTTTATTTTCCTGCTCCATCCGAAATGACCTGAACTTGTTAGAGTAGTGATTGATCTTCACTGTGTTGCGTGGTAGATATGGTTTCTTTGTGGAAGAAGGAAAAAGTTGTGAAAATTGTTATTTCTTTTTCAGTCTAAATTTTAATTTTGTTTAGAAGAAGATTGAGATTTTGAAAACCTGACTTCATAGACTAGTGTTAGTACTTTTTCTTTGTAAAACTAGTGCTTTGTGCATTTGGTTTTGCAAGTTGAAAATATTTTTCAATTGAGAAATATGTTTACAAGATTTAATGGCTTTTTTTATATATGTTTTTGATGAAGGTATATCGTTGATTTTTTTTACTATCAAGATATATCATGAGATACAGGCAAACAGCTCCTCGATTTTCATCTATTATCAAAGATTATAATTCCGGTAAACAACTATCAAAATTTATTTTCATCTAATGTCTAATGTAACCATCATATTTCGACTTTAAATAGTCTCACGTACTTGTAATCAGAAAGGTTATAATAAGTTGTTCTTATATGTATTATTAATATTTACTTGAATTGATTGATCTATTATGCTTTATGCTTTTTAAATATCCTTTTTTTACAACTAAATAGCTTTTGCAAAATCTATTATCTGATTTGTTTAAATAATAAATAAGTCTGACCTGGCTAAGTGGTATATAATATGATGTTGTATTTACTCTTAAGGGACAAAATTTACCCATGAAAAGTCTTCCTGCAGTGCTGGTTAACCAACACTGTTACTATGAGTGATTGATTTTGTTTCGAATTTTAAAGTTTTATTTTTAAGGTGAAAGATGAGAAAAAGTTGTACCTATAAAAATAGTAATAATATATTCTCTCCTGAATGTGAAGGGATTGAATCATAATTATGTCAAGAATTTTAAAATTTCTTCTTATTAATTTGTAATGAAATAGTTGAAATATTTTTTTTGTTTTTCAATAGAAATATTATTAGATATTGTTTTCTAAATTGTAATTAGGGATGAGTATGAGTTAATTTGACTGACTTGTTTAAGACTTGATTTGGGAAACTCGTATTTTAATATGAGTCTGGTCTGCGAAATAAATGATCTTTTAAGATTTGTCCTACAAAGCTAGTTTGTGGTTAAATGGACAAGCCTGCGGACTCAATAAAAAATTCAAAAAACATTTCTTCCCTTTTCAATGCTAAGAATATATAAGGGAGATTACATAAAAAAAATTATATGAAAATATAAACACCAAATAATACATAATAAAAAAATCATGAAAGTTTTAATATACGAAAGTTAACATATTTAAATTAAATTGTATATTTAATATTTATACATATTTTTTAAAAAAATATTAAAGTAGTAAAAGTGTAATATATTTTAAATATAAAATATATTAAATTTAATATATTTTATATTTAAAATATATTACACTTTTACTACTTTAATATTTTTTTAAAAAATATGTATACATATTTTTTAAAAAAATATTAAAGTAGTAAAAGTGTAATATATTTTAAATATAAAATATATTAAATTTAATATATTTTATATTTAAAATATATTACACTTTTACTACTTTAATATTTTTTTAAAAAATATGTATACATATTTTTTAAAAAAATATTAAAGTAGTAAAAGTGTAATATATTTTAAATATAAAATATATTAAATTTAATATTTATTACTTATACTTATTTATTAATAAAATATTAAAATAACTCATTAAAAGTTAGAAGATAAAAAAAAACACCTCTCTTGAAGGGGCTAGTCTGTCGAGTTTACGGATAAAGCTCGTAAAATTTGTAAATTTCGTGGATCAGATTTAATTTTTTATATAATTATGTAAATTATTCAAGAATAGATACCCCCATAGGCCGTGGGCTTCACGGGCCTGTCCGTGGGTTCCCATATTCCCATCCCTATGTGTAAAATCTATTTCTACTATAAAATCTCATCACCAGCTTACCCACGAATAAAAATAAAAATCATCCAACGATAGAAAAATCTGACATGGTGAGAGACATGATTAACTTACCTACGCCAGCTTTCACCTTCACCTTCATTTTTCTGCTTAATATCATATTCGAATGAAGGGTGGGTCAGATTTAAAGAAATAAAAATAATAGCATAATTATGGCTTAGTTGCACTTTTTTTTCCCCATCCATTTGAAACATTTTTGGGTTTGGGTAATTAATTTTTAAAATCGTAAATTTTGTCATCCAAATCCAAATTTTAAAATTTTGTACTTTTTAACTATATAACATTGTTTGTTGATCACTTAGGAGTTAGGAACATTTACTGAAGTGGCATGTTAATGTTCACGTGCACATTATCAATAATGTATTACTTCAACAGTTAGATACTAATTTTGTCAAATAATCAATTAACAGAATAACAAAATTTACATAATTTTGAGAGTTGGATGTCAAACTACACAATTTTAAAAATTAAGTTACAAAATTTACAAAATGTAAATATAAGTGGAAAAAATGTAATTAAAATAAAAACTTGCATCTTAACCACATCCTTCATTGGGTTCAACCGTTCAAGTTTCAACATTTCTTCAATATACCAAGAAAAGTGCGCACGTCTCTTTAAGGAAAATAATTGCAATTTTTTTCCACATAAACCCTATTTAATTCCTATTCATAATTCTAAATAATCAGATTAGATTGTTTTTTAGCAGTCTAGGGTTTATAAAGGAATGTAGGCAAGATTTTCATTTGGTTTTAACTAGCTAGGGATAGTTTAAGGAGAAAGATGCAAAGTCGTTATGAGATATTGAAATGCAAGCATTACTTGTTTTAATTTAGAAATGAGACTAATTTGAGGAGAAACATGTAACATGAATATTAGTTATGAGATGTTTGGCTTTGATACCTAATGATACGTTAATTTCATGTAATTTAAGTATGCAACACTTGAGCCTTAAAATACTAACATTTAAGATTTAGCTATAAAATTGTAGTAATATAACGCTATACTTAATTTCTTTTTTTATAAGAAAAAAATTAGATTAGCACAAATTCACATAAAAAAAATATAAAACACATGTTCTAACCAGTAAGAATAAAAAAGTTAATCACCCATAATTATAATCAAACTATAAAAACTAATTAATTTTTTTTTATTAAACTATAAAGTTATAGAATAATTTAATCATTTCCATTCTTGTAAACTTGACTAAGGAGAATTTCACATTATTTTTGTCTACATATGATTTTGAACGTATGAGTTTCTTAAAGTACTCATGAATGGATATTTTTAGATTTTTTTAAAGATAAGTTATAATGTATTTATTATCTGAATGAGAAGTGTTAAGCAACACATTTTTTAATGCATAAAATTAAGAAAGAAAATCATTAAATAAGATGTGACATCATCAAAATTTTGTATTTTGTAACAAATTTCAACTTATAACAATATTTTAAAAGAGTGTAACAAAAGAGGGTGTTATTAACATTTCTCTTATCTAAATATATGGATAACCTCATTAATAACTAATGTATTAGCATGAGATGTGAATAAATTAAACATGAATCTCAATACAAATTTTAAAATTATTTTGTTCTTATAGCATTATAACTTTTTGTTTCATCTCTTTCTATATATCACTTACCTAATCTCATCCCTGATCGGCCCCTTCTTTTTCACCTATCTTTTTTAGTTATAAAAATTCTAATCTTATAGGAAGCTCAAGAATTGACATGCTAATGTTTTCTGCATATGCTTAAACGAGTTCTAATAGTGCCTAGAGAGACTTTAGGATTAATTATCTGCTTTATATGCACCAAAATATGTTGGAATAAGTTTATCCGGATGCATTTTAATGAAAGAAAAATAAGAAAGAAAATTAAAATGAACTTTTTTGTAAGTTAAAATTAACTTATACATAATTTAAAAATAAGATTTTGAAGAAGCTAGTTAGAGACAATTTCTATAAAGTAAATTAAGGAAAAAATTTATTGAACTTCTCATTCCTAATTTGCTTTTTTATAAATGGTTTTCCTCAAAGTACTTTCACAAAAGTTTAACAAAACATACTCTAACCTTTTCTTTTAACTTAATTCATAGCAAAATCCAAAGAACCTTTTTATTTTTATTTTTATATTTTCATATTCAAATTAGATGATCAACAGACAATACAACTACAGAATAATCTCTTAGGAGTTTGGGGATAGTGTTATGGTAACATTGTATAACATTGAAGTGTAGGCTCCCAAATATTCTATCGTACGTAACTAATTATTCATATATCTTCATTTCATTTATTCATCATATTCATGAACAAATTGAATTTGAACAAATTATTAACATGTGATGATATAAATATAGATCTCAGCATCTCCAAAAATATATATAATAATTTATTTTGGAACTATGGGATGAAAATCTAAATCATGTTGAAGGAAAGGATTGTCTCTTTCTTGAAGGCGCAAAGTATGGAAATAATTCCTAACCTCTTCTGCTATCATGCGCCGAATCACTTGTATAAAGCGCTTCTGATTATCACTCATAATGGTGTTTACCTCAAACTCTTCTTCCTTCTCCTTTTCTTCTTCGTCTTCCTCTGACCTTTCCCCCGGCGGGAAAAGACTCAACGACGTCGTTACGGTACTCGCGAGTCTCTCTTCCTCAGTTTCTTTTTCAATGCAAAGTTTCTTGAGAGGGCGAAACGTGTCGAAAACCGAGGGACGCTTCGCCGGCGGAGGCGGGGAATCTGAGGAGGCGGAGGCGGCGCGATGGCGGCGGAGCGTGGAATTCCAGTGGTTCTTGATGGCGTTGTCGGTGCGGCCGGGGAGGAGGCGGGAGATGGTGGCCCACTTGTTTCCGTGAATGGCGTGCGCCTTTACGATGATTCTATCCTCCGCCGGCGTGAAGGGACGGTGCTGCACTTCGGGGCTGAGCTGGTTGCACCACCGCAGACGGCAGGACTTGCCGGAGCGCCCTGGAATGCCGCTGCTTATGACGGACCAGTTTCTGGCGCCGTGTTCGTTCACCAATTTCAAGAGCGTGGCGTCCTCTTGCGGACTCCACGAGCCCTTAACGCGATCGTCACCGCTGTCGATCATCATTGCCTTTCACCTGTTTGTGAAAACGAGATTCTTCGAGGTTAGTGTGTTATGTTATTAACTTATAATAGTGCGATGCTATGAATATAAATGAATTAGAAAAAATAAAAAAGATTTAGTTGGCATGAACCTTAAAATGAAAAGTAAAACCGCTTTTTGAACATGTTTGTTCGGGTGTTTTTAGGTAGGTGGAAGTTTACAGGTAGGTTTTTGTTGTGGTTTATGAAGGGAGTGGGTGAGAGGGGATTTTCATTAATGGAGGAGGTTATAACTTCCCCCTTTATCTAACTGATTCAAATAACGCCTCTAGCAAGGAAGGTGGATAAATTTTGACCAGTTAGTTTGTTCCTGTTCCTGTTCCTGTTCTTTTGTAACGTACATTCGTATGTGTTGTTGTTTCAAACTTTAGTTGGATAGACATGACATGATATGATGATTTTGGAAGAGTGTGGCAGTTAGGATGGAGTATTCACTCTATAAATGCAATTTTGATTTTGTGTTTATAATGGGAATTAATTGTTATTAATTATGATGTAAGTCAAAATTATGAAGATGCTGTAACGGGCATCGGTTATATATTTATATTTTAAAGTGTGGTTATATATAGTTGGGAAAGAGAGTAAATTAATGGAAGGAACAACGAGGGGGGTTTTGCAACTGCAAGTTGTTAGTGCAGTTAGACATGCATAGGGTACATACCAGGAGTTTTCAAACTTTAAATTACTCTCCAACGCCTAATCAAAATTAATTTCATTGCAATACATCGTGGATCCAATAATTTTTTTTTAGAATACCTCAAAGTTTATTGCACAGTTATTTGATTACACTGCATTGGTTTCATTTTTTATTGGATTTTAAAGTTTCTATACATTTTTTTTCGGGTTTAGTTTTTGTGCATATTTTAGAATTCATATTAATTAGATTATCTCTTATCTATGTTTTATTAATATTTTTTTACTCCACAGTAAATAATTAAAAATATAATAAAATATATATTTAGGTTTCATTGATATTGTAAAATGATAATTAAAATATAACATGTTTATCTGTGTTTGGGTGTTTGTCCCTTCAATTCACCAAAGAATTTTTTTCTTCTTCTAAAATATCAAATAAAATGGAACTAAGAGAATACAAATTAGTATATGATTACAGAAAATGATGTATAAAAGACTAAATTGTACTATTTATTTGACTTTTTTTTTTAATGTGTATTTTTGGTCTCTTTATTTTAAAATAAAGGTATTTAGTCTCTTTAACTTCAAAAATATGAAATTTTAGTCCTCCCTTCAAATTGATATCTAATGATTTTTAACTTACACATACTTTCTTTTTATTTTTACACCAATGTTCTAAGACTTCGTCTTAGACTAATCTGGTTCGATCGGGAGGTAAATAAAGTCTGACCAATAATTATTTCTGTCAAGGATCAAACTCAAGTGTTGCTCGAATGATTCGACCTTGAATTCAACATATTAACCATTTCATGGGTTACAGATCATTCAGGAACGCAAGATTGGAGGAAGAGTCTTGATAGAATCTGATTCAACCATAACAATTAATTTTATTAATTAATGAGGGATGTCCCCATTCATATCCATGTTTTGATTTAGTTCAAGATATTGTACGCTTGATACAACAAGAGTGTGTTATCTCTTGCTCTCATATTTTTAGGGAAGCCAATTAAGTTGCAAATGCCCTTGCCAAACATAGGCCATCGTTAGGAGAAGCTCTTCTGATTTATGATTCTCCTCTTGCATTTATTCAACCATTTTTACCAACAGACTTGTCTACTATTTTTTTTTTTCTTTTAGTGGAATGTAATTTGAGCTTCTTACCCCCTTGAGTACAAAAAAAAAACATTAATTACTTGTGTCTAACTCCTTAGTTGAAACTTACACATACTTTAATAATATAACATTTAATAATGCAACATTTGAAAATAAAAGAAACTAGAAAATATGCAAATAAAATTTATTAATAAAATTGTACCCTAATGAGATTTTATCTGGCTTAACAGTTATCTGTGAAGAGAAAGATATGGTGGTTATAATAAAAGATATGTGAATTGATTTATTTTTCTAAAAATCATGGCAAAATAAGTTGCTAAAAAAAGTGCATGACAAGATAAGTAGCTAAAAATTGGGGATAGTGAATACGGAATAACAATTATAATAACAGCTTCAGGATATAAAATAAGAACAAATACAATGAGGAAGGAGAGACTTAAGTGTTTCGATGAGGACTTTTTATCGAAACGTTTTGGCACCCATCATGACTCTCCAGTACAACTCTTCCAGCGGCTACACTTTTAAAACCTCAAATCTTGTTGTTAATAACCATTGAATCCATAATATATTTTTTTTTGTATCGGGTGAAGTTCACAAATAAGAGCAAGGATAAAACCTTTTAATCTGTGGAAAATTAAATATATGTTGAGGTTGCAAACAACTCGATTTATAATCGATCTGGTATGATTAGAGAGTTGTGCTAAGGTTACAAACAACTTGAATTATAATCGACCTTAGTACAACTAGAGAGTTGTGTTGAAGTTGTGAACGACTCAAATTATAACCGACTTTAATACAATTAGAAAGTCGTGTTGAGGTTGTGAAGAACTCAAATTGTAATCGATCTAGTACTGTTAGAAAGCCGATTATAACTAACCTTAATATGATCAGATAGTTGTGCTAAGGTTGCAAACAACTTGAATTATAATTGATCCTAGTATGAATAGAGAGTGGTGATAAGATTGTAGATGATTTAGATTATAATTGAGCTAGTACAATCAAAGAATTGTGTTGAGATTGTGAATGACTCAAATTATAACTAATCCTAATAGTCATGTTCAGGTTGCGAATGAATCAAATTATAACCGACCTTAGTACAATTAATGAGTTGTGTTGAGATTCAAGCGACTCGGATTATAATCGACCCTAATACGATCATAGAGTCTTGATGAGATTGTGAACACTAGATTATAATTGATCCTACTACAATCAGAGGGTTGTGTTGAAGTTGTGAACAATTTGGATAATTATCAATCTTAGTATGATTAAATAGTAACCATAGAGTAATCTAAGCATCGCGTTGAGGTTGCGAACGACTAAATTTAAAAATTAAATACTTTATGATTTTATGAAATTATTAGGAAAACAAATTGATATCGATTTTTATAGGACACTTAATTTTAGCTAATTATCATCATCAAATTAAAATATATCATGATCATTGTTTTTCGATGGACAAATGATTAGAAATTTGAAAAAAAAATGTTAAGACTCTTGAAGAGTTAGTCTTCTAAAATAAAATACAAGATAAATGCTCCGGTTGAAAAGTTAAAATGTTAATAGAAAAAGTCAACAAAGTAGTTAACAATTAATCAAAAGATGAAATGTCTAATAATTTAATAGGATTTTAGTTACTATATATACTTCTTGTTCTGAAAACCTCCAAAAAGATAATAAATATAAAATATAAAAATTACTTGAATGCTCTAGTATTTTAATTCTTATTATTTTACGAGAATAATTATATAGTTTATGTACGACTAATTAACTTCTGTTAGTATCAGAAAATGAATTCGGAGGTACTCGATATACAGAAGTGCTCGAAATTCTAGGTGATCGGAAAATGGCAAAGAAGTTTCTGAAAAAAGCATACGAAGCCTGAATAAAATCAAGAGATACACGAAGACACTTTTCGTGAAACTCTCGAAATCATTGAACTGGGAAGGATGCTGCTCAGGAGAAAGGCTCACAACCTCGCAACCTCTCAAAGTACAAGAAAAATCAGGAAACACTCAAGAATATTTTTCGTTGGTTACTCGAAATTACAAGAATCCGGACATACATGAACACACTTCGCAACCTCTCAGAATGAAGGACTTAAAAGAGACATAATTTAAGAGTGGTTGAAGTAAATCATGGGATAAGTGTCAAAGGCTGCAGAACGGTTTGGGGAAGTTAATGAGCAGTTCCAAGAGTTATCCAAAGTCGTGCCCGAGAATAAGCCACGATGGGGAAGTTTGGAACGGTTATGCACTTCCCGGGCACGTCAGAAACAGTTATCTTTCCCAAATCTTTGTCTATAAATCAAACGAGCCATGCTCGTAGCAAGAGGTCAGAAATCAAATACCCACAATACCTCACACACACTCCGCAGCCTGCACATAAGGCATACTGTGCATACGAGACAGCTTTAGGTACGATTTCTCGACCACCTATCTTTTTTCCTTTTTTAGGAGTAGCGTAGCATAACATAGTCTAGTCTAGTGTAGTGTAGTCATCTGAACATGTTTCGTCATCCTTACGAATTGTAATTCTGTTACCATTTAATGAAGGATATGATTTCTGCAGTCAATATACATGTCATCTGTTCGATTCACGTTAATTCTTACATGCATGAATTTGATTGTATAATTAGCATAGATCTTCTGATGTACTGAAACAAGCATAGATCTTCTGAAGTGCTAACACCAGCATAGATCTTCTGACGTGCTCAGACAAAGAGCATAAATCTTCTGATGTGCTGAAACAACACCCTAATCAATTAACTCTATTTGTTGTTTGTACGATTTATTTTTTCCCTGAAAGTTTTCGATTCTGTCATGTCACAAACGCGCATAAATTGAAACGTACTAATCGTGCTAGTTCGAATAAAAAGAACCTACGAACGAAATTTTCCACAAACAACTTCATATCTTATTATAAAATATTTAATTTTACTTACTTATTATGAAAAGACTCGAGATCGGGAGATGTGTATCCTCATAAAATTTTACCTGACTTATCAATTATCTCTTGAGAGAGGAAAATGGTTGCTATAATAAAATATATGAGAGTTAAATTATTTTTTAAAATTATGGCAAGATAGGTGGTTTAAAAAGAAGGAGCATGACAAGATAGGTAGCTAAAAATGAAATTAGAGAATCCAGAATAAACTGCTTTAGGATATAAATAAACAATTAAAGTTAGAATACATCTAGTTTATTGCACAGTTATTTGATTACACTACATTGGTTTCATTTTGATTGAATTTGACAGTTTCTATAATTTTTTTGGGTACAGTTTTCCGTACATATTTTATGTTTCATATAAGTTATTTTGTATTTATCTTTCATATTGATCAGATTATTTCTTGTCTATATTTTAAAATATTTTTTCAATTAAATAATTAAAAATATATAAAAAAATATTTATGTTTTATTGATATTATAAAATGACAATTAAATTT